ACAGAGTAGTGGAAATAACGCAAGCTAAATGGGAAAAAAAAAGAAATTAAAAAAATGAAGACAGGGACTTCCCTGGTGATACAGTGGTAAAGAATCTGCCTTACAACGCATGGGACACTGGTTTGATCCCTGGTCAGGGAACTAAGATCCCACATGTCACAGGGCAACTAAGCCCATGTGCCACAACTACTGAGCTTATACACCTCAACTAGAGCTGTGTACCACAAACTACAGAGCCCACACACCCTGAATCCCATGCACCACAACTAGAGAGAGAAAATCTGCATGTCACAACTATAGAGAAGCCTGTGCCCCACAACAAAGAGCCCACATGCCACAACTAAGACCTGACACAGCCAAAAATAAATAAAAATAAAATAAAAATGAAGATAGTTTAAGAGACATCCAGGACAACATCAGGTGCATGACCATTTGCATTATAGGGGTCCCAGAAGAAGAAGAAGAGAGAGAAAAGGACAGAAAACTTCTTTGAAGAAATAATAGCTGAAAACTTCCCTAACCTGGGAAAGGAAACCAACATTCAGGTCCAGGAAGCACAGAGTCCCAAACAAGATCAACCAAAAGAGGTCCACACAAAGACATGTTGTAATTAATATGGCAGAATTAAAGATAAACAGAGAATTTTAAAACACATACACATCAAAATAAACAAACTAGCTACATACAAGAGAACTCCCATATGACTGTCAGCTGACTTTTCAGGGGGAACATTGCAGACCACAATTTACTAAAAATAATGAAAGGACAAAACCTACAACCAAAAAAAAAAAAAAAAAAAAAAAAAAAAAAAAAAAAAAAAAAGAAAAATATATGTCTCTAAGTAAATTTCAGGTAAGACCAATGAGTTTTTAATAGTTTCCTCTAAAGCTAAGAAGACCTCTGAGAAAGTCTCTAACTATTTCTATAGTCAAAACAGACTTTAATGATTTTTCTGTTTTCTTTTCTGATTATGAAAGTATGATGCACATTCCAAAAAAAAAAAAACTCGCTTGAGAAATACAGAAGAGCACAAAGAAACAGAAATCACCTATAATCCACTAAACTGCGCCTATTAATTTGTGGCAGTTTTAATGTTTAACCTTAGAAGAAATGCTAGAAAAAAAAAGAGAAATTTTCCCATCAGTCACGCATACAAGAGACTCTGTGAGTTTAAATGGAGCCTTAGGGTGGAGGGCTTGGTGCCCACGAGCCAGAGATGTGAGCTGGCCATTAGACAGTAATAAATTTCTCCTGTACAATGGTTAGATACAAGATATAACATAGGATCAGTAAAAAGTGTAACCCATCTACAAGACTTTTGAATATTCCATCAAATATTTGGCAGCCTTAACATTGTTCGATAGCAAATAAAATCATGGTTTTAAAAAAAGCTTTTTAACGTTTTGACGAACATTCAAACTTAGAGGGAAATTTCCTTTTTTATAGAACTCAGATTATTAAAAGGCAAATCTTTGTTTACTATATACTAGAAGCCCCTATTTAATATCTGCCCACTTTTTTGTTCCGTACTGTGCAGGAGATACTTCTGAGCTGCTGATAGCATCAGTTACTTCCTAATTTCTAATCCATTTGACTTTTTTGATAGAGAGGGAGACATTGAACCCACCCCGGTTTGTCTCAGTACTTGAGTCTCCAGGTCTCAACAAAGATATTGTTGTCATTTAGATTTGTCTCCAAAATCATGACTGGCCAGATCTAAATCTCGCTGTGGCACTGATGATCAAGTGTGTCCTCAACAACTTTCTAACGGGAAATAAGCATTTTATTCAGTTCTCAGCAATAGAGAATAGAAGTTCTCCTTCTAAACCCCCGTAAGGCCCAGAGATGCTCCAGACAGTGCAAATAAATAACAAAGATTTTCATCGGCATCTATCACCTTGCTTTTGTCAATATCTTGCAGTATTAACTGAGCAGCCACCATGATGCCAACCACCAAGGGCTAAAAACTGGTTTTGTGTTTTAAGATGTTGATTCTCTTGAAAAGAAACATGACTGAGGCAGCCATCGCACCACCATCACACCTCAGGCCTGCTGGGGAGGGCAGTTCTTTCAGGAAGGAGAGCCCGACACTCACCACACTTCCGCCGCCTCCAGGCTGGCCTCCCGCTCCAAGGCAGCAATAACCCCCCTGCACGCACCTCAGGGTGCAGCAGTTCCCAGCCTCTGTCTGCCCTTCTGCCCACGGCCCAGGGGTTACAGAACCTGCTGCCTTATCTCCTCTCTGTTTGGGTGGTTCCAGCACAGCAGTTCAAACAAATCTGAGCCAGACCTCCTCACAGCTTGAAACAGCAATGGAAAGAGCCCTCAGGAAGTAGGCTGGAGGATGGGCCAGCCACCATCCTGGTCCCTGGAGATTGTTGACGGATCCCAAGTAACGAACGTACGTGAGTCATGCATCCACATTGGCTGCAGAGGTGATGGAAATGAGACCGGGCTGTCTACAGATTGGCTGCATTCATTCAGTCATCTATTCAATCATTCATTCAGCAAATATTGTTTGTCACCTACACTGTTCAGACCTATCAAATCACTGAGGAGACATCCTGAACAAGACAGACATAATCTTCCACACCTGACGTGAAGCACTTTGAAAGCAAGAAGAATAATTCAGTGCAAGCACATGACTCAGTCCTGGGGAGTCATGGAAGGCTTCAAAGAGGAGACGTCTAAAACTTGAAGGATGCACGAGGCTTAGACACATGGAGGGCTGGTCAGGGCTGAGCTGGGAGAGGCCCCCAGGGGCACATGCCAAGGGAGAGGTGAAAGCCTGCACATCCATGCACGGGCCAGCGTGCCGTCGGGAAGGACACTGGCCCGTCTCGGGCCGTAGCATCGGCCCTACTGAAGATTACTCCAGATCACTAAATATTGGGTTGCACCGTAAGAGAGTGCCATTTTTCTAGGTCGAAATGGTCTGATATCAGTAATTTCACATGGATCAACCTAATACTTCCCAGAACAATAATCCCTTGACCATTTTCCCTTCTAAATGAGTTTCTCTCTCGAAAAAAGCCACAGTGGCATTGAGAAACATACAAGAATCAGTAGGACTGGAGTAGGGCAGTGACGGGTGGTGATGGTTGATTCCGAAGGACCCACAGAGGCCACGTGGAAGAACGCATGAGCTGCAGTGGGACATTTAGGCTTTATCCTTCGGATGATGGGGATGCACAACGACCAGATTTGCATTTTAAGATGCTCACTGGAGATCACCTGGAGAATGGAATGGAAAGGGAAACACTGTACAGAGAAAAATGGAAAAAGCAGCCCTCACAGTCATTCAGTGAGAGAAGACAGACCCGCCCTAGCATGGTGAATGCAGGTGGGCTGGAGGATGCTTACCGAGGCCTAAGTGGCAGGACTACAGACTGACTCCAAGGGGGAGATGAGGGAAAGCGCAGTGAACCTGAGTCCTGGTTCCACACAGGCACCAGGTGGGAGGGCCTCAACAGGTAGGGGAGGGGCCGTTCCCTGGACTGCATACACAGCACAGGGGCCTGGCTTGGAGGGAAAAGGATGAGTTCTGGGCATGACTGTTCAGCCAGCTCTGACGATCAGGACAGCAAAGACGAGAAGCAGCAGGAGGTGAAGGGGACGAAGGGTTGCTGACAGCTGACTATGAGGGTGCTTTATATACAGTGGATAATAAAAGGCACACACCTGGAAGGTAGGTACCCACCCTTCTGTTTTTACAGATAAAGAAATTGAAGGTGAATGCTTACCTGAGGTTAGGTAGCTGATAAGTGATAGAGCTGCTATTTAAAGGGGAACTTCTCTACCTATACCCACGTCTCACAGCTCCAACCTGCCACCCACTCACCTAACAGAACGCAGGGCGTGTGGGATGCTTACGGCTAAAAAACGGTAAGCAGAGTTAAGATCCAGAGGGATGTGCAGAAACCTGCCCCGGCAGAACACACGGTAGTGGAGGACACCAGACTCAGGGCAGTGCACCTGACCCAGCTGAGTGCCCTACTTTCTAAGGAGGAGAGACATTTCCTTAGAGGATGCCTCTTAGCTGCAAGCCCTCTCACCCCATACCTGCTACAGGCCACCTTCGTTGAGGTTCCTCCCCACATCTAGCGCACAGGGCTCAGGGCAATACCAGCCAGTGGTTGGAAGAACTTGCTTTCCAAGCATTAGAATCAACCCTGCAGCACCTCACCTGCCCTGTAGAGCAGAGCTCAGCTAGGCAGCTCCCCTTAACATCTCTTAAGTGAGAAGCATTATTTTAGCCGATGGCATTACCCTGGCAGACAAAGGTTTAAGGCATAGCCTGTTTAAAGAGCTATTTAACAATTTCCAAAATAGTAGCAAAACATTTTCCATAGAGCTAAATGAGTCCCAGGGAGGAAAGCACATATTACATTTTCCTACTTGTTTCCTTAATTAGGAACAGATCCTGGTGGCTGGGATTTATTTTCATGAGTACACATCCACAAAAACCAGAAATATCTTGACACGATGCAGCATCCCTAATGTTTCTCAAACCTGAATTCCTAATTGGGTTTTTAAAAAAAAGGCACAAGAATTTTTCCCACTTGTTTTGTTTCAGGATTCAAAACAGAATCTAAGATGTGCATTTTTATATTGTTCTAAAACGTAGATAAGCTGGGTCAAAATCCATAACATCCACTTCAGACATTTAAAAGAAGAGAAAGACCAAGGCATGAATTCTGAATTGAACACACCAAGGAAGATTATTCTTCTTAGGAAACATGAAAACAATCTTGTGATCTCCCCGGACCCTTTTCAACATCTTAATCTACTTACTTTTCATAAAAAGAGAAAAGCTCTGGGAGATGTCTGTATGGCACCTGCTTCCTCTGTTACAGGATTCAAAGGACTCCTTTTTGTGTGTTTTTCTTTGTTAATTTATTGTAGAAATCGGCTAGCCTTTTTCTTTGCTTTCACCAAATTCTGTTATAATAAGGAATCCAGACGTGCCATGGAGTCTGTAATGAAGTTACCATCCCTACCTGTGCAGTTTATCCTCAAGCATTTCCAGGTACTTCATAGTATTCACCTTCACACTGGTTTCTGCAAAACAAAAATCCAAAATTGATGCAACTGGAGTCAGAGATTGAACAAAACCCGGAACTGCTCAACTAAAAGCCAAAACCCGAAGGATCACAGTTGAGCCGCTAGTAATGATAACATCCTATGTTTGGAAAACACTCGAATCCATTGCACGGCTTGCCGGGAGGGATGCGTTGGAAGGGGTCTGAGGCCTCCAGGCACTGCCGGAGTCGGAGCCGGGGATCGAGGGTATGATGCCTTTCACTACGTGCTTTCAAAGGCAGCTTAACCGGTGTCTGGCGTGGATCCCGTTGTGCTCTGTGCCCCTCATCTTTCCCACCTGGTAGCCAAGTTTGGGAAAGAGGGAGAGAGAGAACACCCCATCCTGTGGTTTAACCAGAGAACCTCACCAGTGGTAGCTGAGGATTACAGACCCTTCCGTTGAAAAACAAACAGGAACCTGATGCAGCCAGTGAGCTGACATCAACTACTCAGCTCCCAAAGCTGTGAGATCAGCTTCTACTAGAGGTAAACTCAGTGCCTCATAACCACCAAACACTGAAGGAATAGATGACTCTTATGGCCCAATGGGTCAAAGAGGCACTTTGCTAATGTATAAGAGATTTGGTACCTTTGGGGCAAGCTCTGACGCCCTCTGTTTCCTCCTCCTGTGAGGGGTGAAAGTGCCTTGGTCTGCAGGTGATCCCGAATGAGATGTGACTTCCAGCCCTAGAAAAGCGGCCGGCAGAGATGCCTCTGGAGGATGGTGGCGGTAACCTATTGATGTTCCCTTTCTGTCCTCACCGGTATTACGGCCATTGCGATATTTACCATCCTTTTTATTCCAACCTCCATTCTCAAAGGTAATTTTTGCTGAAGGGCTCATGAACACCCAAAAGTTGGGGTACATGGAAAGCATGCTGCCTGTCTCTCAGCCCTGAGTGTCCGCCTGGGGGACACTCAGGACCCCACTTTGGTCAACATGTATGCGTGGGGTGAGGGACAGGGGCTGTATTGGAAACTGGAAAAAGTACCTTGAAATTCCTCATCAAGAAACCAAATATTCCCAGGAACTACAGTACCTCATTGATCCCATTTTGGGAAATACTGCTCTAAGAATACAAAAGCCAGATTGATGACCTTTCCGATGGGGGGAAAACACACCTTATCAATGAATCAGTAGGACTATTATTAAAAGGCTATGATTATTCTGCTTCAGTTGGAGTCATGTGAAGTTATTTAATAAGGCATTGCAATTAATTTTCAAGAATACTTAAGCTACTCTTAATCCACACTCTCAGACCACTCTGTTTTGTTTTCATCAGAACATTTACCACTACCTGTTTTTTTTGTTTGTTTATATGCTTGTTATTGTCTATTTATTCCCACTACAAGGTAAGCTCTGTAAGAACTGGGATGCTGTCAGTCTTACTCAGTGCTGTATCTCCAGTACTTTGAATAGCATTTGTCTGTACTAGTTTCTCAACAAATGTTGACAGAATACTTGAATAAATCTAGTACTTTTCTCTTTGTTAAAAAAAAAAAAAGAAACCAAATATTTAGATGGAAATGACAACAAAAGTTCTGGTTAATTCGTTGATGATAGTTAAAACAGAGATACATACAGTGAAAGGAACTGTTGAAGATGATCTCTTATTGATCTGTGCTTGCCTAAGCTACAAGTTAAGGTGTGCTAAGTTTTTTCTCCAAATAAATCAGTTAAGTATGTGTTGTCAGCTCCTACTATGAGTCAGGTCGTGTGCCAGCGTGGGGATTTAGTCACGGTGATGTGGTTCTTCAGAGCAGAGATCTCACTGGTTCACCTGGAATAAGTACTGCAAACTCAGAATATCCCAACCAGACACGCTCTGTTTCACATCCTACATGCATTTATGTGGCACACACTGTTCTAAGCCCTGGGTATAAACCAGTAAGCAGGATCCATAAAGATTCCTGCCTACGTAGTGCTTCGTTCTGGAGGGGCAGGTAATAAAGAGGAAATAGAAAGTTCCATAGACTACTAGGGGGGTGATAAGTATCATAAATCAAGAGAAGGGGATCAGAGTGGGGCTGCAGAGTGGTCAGGGTAGGCTTCGTTGAGAAGGTGACATTGAGTAAAATCATGGAGACGGCGGGGAGAGCATGTAAGCGGCACGCCGGGAAGGGCAGAGACGCAGGAGGGCCAGCCAGGGCAGGAGTCTGCCTGAGTGTCTCACCAACACGTGGCCAGAGCAGAACGTTCCCTGGGGAGAAGCGATGAGGGCAGAGAAACAGCTCAGGTCCAATTACGCAGGCCACTGCAGCAGACTCTATTTCCAAACACGGCCACAGTAATATTGCTGGCCCCATACGCTCTTCCAGAACTTGGCCACTGTCCATCAAACGGGGAAACCTATTTCCCTCCCCTTGAACCTGAACAGGCTAGGACTGTTCCCCCAGCTGTGCGTGGCAGGAAGGATGCTGTTTAACTTCTGAGTCTAGGGTCCAGCTCCTGCCTGGCTCCTCCTCCCGGGAACCCAGCCGCCATGCTGTGGGGAAGCCCAAGCCACACGAGAGGCCACGTGGAGCTGTTCCGGCTCCCGGCCGCCGGGGCGAAGGGCTCAGCCTACAGCCCGCATTTTTTTTTTTTTGGCCGCAACATTTTATTCAGTTAAGCAGGCTCACAGAGCAGGAGAGAAACGCCAGCTGCAGGGGGCAGGTCCTGCAGATCCATGCCCCGCATCCCCTCAGAGAAGGAGGTGGGGTCCTGGGGGCACCTCCCTCAGTCCATCTGTCCCTCCGTCCAGAGTCCCAGGGAGTGGGTGCCCCAGGGCAGGGAGTAGTTACTGGGAGGTAGGGTAGGAAGAGGGTGGCTGGCTCCCTGTCGCTCCCAGCAGAGTCAACCCTGCCATGGCTACTGCTGGGCCTCCGCTAGACCCCGGGCCGGGCTGTGGACGAGGCGGCGATAAGAGGCAGATTTTAGGTATACTTTAAACAACAGAAACAACAGGAGGTCCTGACGGATTGCATTTGCATGTGTGAAAAAGAGCCACGTCAAGAATGACTACAAGGTTTTTGCCCTGAGCCACTGAAATAAAAAGAGAGTCGCCATCAACCGAGAAGGGAAGATGGCGGTGAAACCCGTTTGGGGAGACAAGCAGGACTTCAATTTTGGATTGAAATTTGCTAAGAAAGTAGAACTCGAATGTCCCCCACCTCCAAAAAAAAAAAAAAAAAAGATCAATACGTGAAGTGATGGATGTGTTAATTAACCTGATGAGAGGAAACTCTTTCACCATGTATATCAAACATCACGATCACGTTGTACACTTTATCTCACAACGCTATTTGTCAGTTATACCTCCATAAAGCTGGAGAAAATAAAAGCAATCAAAAAACTTTTAAAAAGAGTCCAATTTTGGATACGATAAATTTAGGTTTATTAGACATCCAGCAGGACTGGCAAGTACAGAGTTGGATATATGAGTCTAGAGAAACCCTGGACTGCAGACGGACACTCAGAAGACCTGGCAACTGAAGCAAGGAGATGAGATGTCATCACGCAGGGAGTGAGAGTAACTTAAGAAGCCCTTGGTGATCCCATATAACTATGATTATATTGTGATAGCACCTTCCATGCAAGGGACAAAAATTCATAGCACCTCCCTTGAAGACAAGACAGCCATATTCTCGTGTTTAAAATAATCCAGAGGTACACCCTATGAATGATTTTGTTAAGAAATCGGACACTAAATACTTGAGTCATCTAAGCACTTGATGCTCCAGTTAGTAACCTGCCAGACCCACACAGGAACATCTTGCCCACTGGCCCGGAGGCTGCCATCTGCAGAGGATGCTGTGTTAATCGCCTTCGCTGGATCCTGACTCATCTCCCAGGCCAGTCTTTGCTCACATATTCCTGGGTTGACTCATAACCTTCCAGAGAGACCCAGACCATAGACGGGGAGTTTAGTTTTTTAACTTCCTAAGAGATATGCCCACAGAAACACTGACTGAGAACAGAGCTCATCCTTTCTTTCCTTATCACCAGCCCTCCTCTTCCCTCCTTTCTCCAGCATCTTAGAGCAGGGACCCAGAGAATGGGTCCCTCAGTGGTGGTGAGGCAAGATTCCAAGAACCAAGGATGGTACCGAGGGAAGCTGAGTACTAAAAGGAAAAGGAGACCAGGCGTCACCGGGCATCCTGATGCGGAAAAGGCAGGAACACTTCCCCTCCTCCCCACATGCTAAGAGAATCTGATACCCAGAATCGGGCCAAAATATCAGAATGGAGTTCATATAGTTTTACGAATCCAATTAAACAAGAACCGATTGATCATTAAACACAGCAAAACTGCAAAAACATTTATGGGAGCACATGGCACAGACACAAATCAACGTTACACGAATGGAACCTGGGTCCTACTTCATGCGAGACACTACGCTAGGCACTCTTTAAGTATGATAGAGATACGGCCTCAAGGAGCCCAGAGAGCGCTGTAGGGCCAGATGCTAACACTGATTTCTCCTGGGAGTGCACAGCAACATTTTCCATAAGTCTTCATCATAAGTGATAATCCAAAAATATCCCTATGAGTCCAATGAAAAAAAAAAATTACCAAGCAATATCCTTTTCAGGATGAACTAGGTAGGTAGGAGAATGTTAAGTAGGAGCAGGTCTAACTAAGTTTTGTTGCATTAGATCCTTTGTTTGCATAATAAACGGACAGCAGTATTTGTCATGAAAATAGTACAGGGAATGAGTTACACCCAGGCAGCCTTGCCGTCAGATTGAATGAAACAGTGGTTCCAAAGAACTTCAGCCCCGCCACCCTCCATTAATAAGGCAGCATCATGAGATCGGTACAATATGATCTCGAATTTGAAACTGGAAGCCGAAGGGACCTCATCAGTTTAGCATCAATCACAAATTTTGTCTAACATTAGCCATTTTACTGACGTTTTTCTAAGATAACCTAAGCACCAAGTGAGGGCTGACCTCATTTTATGCAAATAAGTCAGCAGATTTCAAAGGTAGATTTA